GTGTAAGACATGCTGAAAGGTGGCCCAGAAAAGCCAATCAGGTCTTACTTGATCTCAGGGTGGGGAGGGTAGGAGGTTACACTGCCTCTTTTGAACACTTAAAAAGCCCCAAGACCGAAATCACCACTGGGTCATAGATAGCAGGTGACTTGGTGAGAAAAGATTAGTATGAGGAAGTTGGTCTTCTATGGTTTTTGGCCATAAACAGTGGATCTGTATGGAAAATCTCCTTGCCAGAAGAGAGGGAAGGGGGCTTCCGCTCTCACCCACTTTGTTTTACCCAAAATGAGACACTGGACTGCGGAGATCAGCAATCTGCTGTTGATTTTTGTACCCATGGAAAGAAATGTTCTGATTCTTGGTCATTATCTTACTGGCTCAGCCTTGGCAAAGGAGAGAGAGTTTTCCACAGCAAGCTCTGAATGGGAAGCAGTGATCCGTGCAGCAGTGAGGGAATGGTTTCAGAAGAGATAACCAAGGGGAGGTTATGTATTAAATGTAGGCTTTTGGGCACACAGGCCTAGTGTGCTTGAAATACTGTTTGTCTGCTCATTCAAATTCATATGCAAAGCAGTTCTTAAGTTTAGTATTTTAAATATATCTCTCTTCTCTTTTTCCACAGACCAAACCGTGCTCTTGACTCCTGTTCATTTGCTCGCCACATGCTCCTACAAACCCTTCATCAGCTGTAAGAGACAAGAGATGTGCTGCTGTGCCCTTCTCCCCTCATAGGACTGTTGTCATCAGAGAACTCAGAGCTGTGTGGTGGGAGAGGATCCTAGAGCCCATACAGACATGCTGTTTGTTCTTTTTCTTTCTTTTTTTTTTTTCCCCTCTCTGTAGGAGGTGTGTCCTTCCTTCTGCTTTTTAAACTTGGACAAATCCTGCTGAATTTTTTTCTTATACTCACAAAGTGATTCCCTGGTCTGTAGGGCGGCTGGTTGTGCTACAATAAATCAGTGCTGCTCTGAGCTCTGCATGAATTGAAAGGAAGAGTTCTCTGCTTTGGTCATGTTGGCAAGGGTGTGCCAAGAGTAACAAACATGGGGCCCAGAAGCGCTCTCATCACGATCAACTCAGTTGTGCATTTTATTTTATTGGACTGCAACTCCTGCCTGATGGTAGTATTCAGCACTGTGCTGGAGGGAGGCAATGCTGCTGCTGCCCCTGCTTCTCTAGGCCAGGGGAGTGCTTGACCCCCTTCTGGTGCTGCCGGCTCAGAGGGGCAAGGTGTGCTCCCCTTTGTTTCTCCTTTCAGGTCCATTTGTCAAAGGCAGTCTGTGGCTGATTTGTATTTTAATATACTACTCCCCTGCTGCTGTGGCTTGGAGTGTTTGTGTAGTGTGGCTGACCCTGATGGCCACTGCTTAAGGGAGCAAGCATATTTCTATTGTAAATTTTTTTGCCCTTGCTTGTGTTTTTCCTTCTTCCTGCCCTTTCCCTGTCCCTTTCCCTTCTCTTCCTAATAAAATAGGCTTGGTTTGGGAATGAATACAATCCATGAAATCCCTGTGGAGTATGTTTTCCCTTTCTTCTCTGACAAAACACTGGGCCTGTGTGCACTGTTCCCATGTTTGAAAGCTGAGCAAGTGTAAGAGCATGAAGTAGCGCTGTGCTGCTTTTCTTGCACTGAAGGAATAGCAGCAGATGCCCCTAGATCTCTGTACAAAGGATTCTCTGTGCCTATGCGTGTTTGTGGCACCTATCTTCACACAAGCTCAGGGGCTGGTCCTGCCCCTTCTTTCAAGCCTGTGAGAATCAACACATCTCTCTCTAGGCAGTAAAGAGTTGTTCCTTCCCTCTGCTTTTGGGTGGAGGAGACTTTTTTGTGCCTTACCTGACTTTACCGTTGACATGCCCTATAAAGAGGGCCAGGAAGAAGTCCAAGGAGTAGAGCTAGCTGTCCCTTTTTTGTAGGAGGTGATGTCTACCACAGCTGGCAGGGTGCAGATGCTTGGCCTTGGTGCAAAAAAACCTGGTGTTAGTTCCTGGGGTGTGCAGGCAGCATTGACAGAAAAAAGGACTTGGGATGCTAGATTGAAATAAAGTGGGTGGTATGTGCAAGGCCTGCTTGCACCCTCTCTGCTTAATGTTCTTCCAGGTTGTGGGCCTGTTAGGGCAACTGCTGGTGAAACTGGGGTGGCTGTGATCTAGCAGGCACAGGAAAGCAGTGTCTTGTCACTGACAAGGGAGGTGCTGGTCTGTGTGTAAGAGCAGTGTTCCCTCATTTTAAAAACGCTGCCCTAAGGCTAAGAGTAAAATGCATTTTCTCCATTTCTGTGACTGAAACTGGAACTCCTCTCTGTCCAAATTGGTAAAAATCAACTGAAGTGAAGGTAACTGCACCTACAGAAGGAGCTTCAATCACTGCAGGCCCAGCCCTGCCTCCTTCACCTCATCCCGTCCTGTTCTTTCAGCTGTGTTGCAAAAGCAAATCTGTTAAGTTTTGCCATGAGCTTGAGGGCAAAACCAAGACATAAAAGAATCTGCATTTTCTCTAAGTCTTGAACCTAGTGTAGCTTTCCTCAAAGCTCCCTGTCCTCTAGCTGCTTTTGATGTCCCTGTGGCCTGGAGGAGGGTCATGGAGAAAAGAACTGTGATGCAGAACAGATGCAGAGACCAAGCCAAGGGGGTAACCTCTAGAGGAGGCTGTCTGACAGCCTGCAAAGGTCAGAGGGATGCTGCTGCTTGCACAGAGACCTGTGGGCCAGGTCCTGGGGAGAATCTGTGTGGGAAGCTTTTTGAGTAGCAAAGCCAGAGTAGCAGAACAAGTGTGAGATGTTGATCTCCAAGTTCCTTTCAAAAGCAAACAATATTTAGAAACAGGATTCTCCTAGTCCTGATAATCAGTGTGAAGCATAGATGTTTATAGGAAAAAGGGGTGTGTGAGGGTAGAAGTGACAGTCTGCAGAAGGCAGATTTGTTTCTAGGTAGGACAGGGCTCAGAAATCCCTTAAACTTGGTTTATGCTTCAGGATTAGGGAAAAAAAAAAAAAAAAAAATTAGAAGTTGCTCCAGAGGATTGTTTCCCAGCAGTACCCTGGAGGAATGTGGGGTCATTCCAGTGCTGCTTCAGTCTTGTGCAACCGTCTCACCCCAAAAACACTGCTGTTCTAAGGAGTATTTCTAATTTGAACTTCATTAGTCCAGCAAGGCAGTGGCGGTGCAGAGCTCTGTCTGCATGGAGCAGTTTTGGGTGTGCTGTAAGCAGTGAAACCCAGTCGTGCTAGTAAGAGGATTGGACATGGTTGGCCGGGCAGGGTTAGGGTCTCCCAGCCACGGGAAATGAGGGGGTAGCCAGGAAGTGGGGAGCAGGATGGGCTGGACAGGGGCCAGTGCTGCAGGGTGGCTGATGGTGGCTGCGGCAGGTGGTTCCAGGTGAGCTGGTGGCTGGGGTTGCCGCGGAGATGCAGGGTGGCCCGCAGCAAGGTGGAGGAGGTCAAGGTTCCCCAGCTGCTTGAAGGTGCCCACCCAGAGCTGCCCCACCCTGCTGCCCCTTAGACGGAGGGCAGTGATGTCCAGCAGGTCTGGGAAGAAGCCGGCCTCCAGGTGTGGGGAAGTGGTGATGTGAGGTCATCTCAGCGGTGGCGCGGGGGATGGCAGTGGTCAGTGAGGACAGGCTAGAGCTGGGGCACCAGACGCAGCTAGACAGAGTGGGAGCAGCTTGTGGGGGCACGAGGGCTCAGCCACGCTGGCAGCAAGCCGCAGGGGCAGGGTGAAGACCACCAGCCAGGCACCACAGAGCACAGCTGTAACACAAAACAGGCACCGCTCCCTTCACCTGGCCCTCCCTAAGGCCAGCCACGGCCCTGAAACAGGTCTTGGTGATTCAGTGCCAGCAACCACCTTTCCGGGGTGACTCCTACCAGCACGGGGCAAGTTCGTTCCCTCTAGACCTACCTCCCCAACGGTTCTCCCTGTGCAGCAGAGCAGAGACGAGCATGAGAGCTGGTGCCACCGAGCTGCTCATCACATCAGTGCGGTGGGGCTGTCACCCTGTGTCACGGGCGCAATAAGCACCCAGGGACAGCGGGCATGATGGCCCAAAGCAGTGGCCAGGGAAGCTTTGGCCACCCAGCAGTGGGGAGGCTTGCAGAGCCTGGCCAGCATGTCCATCATCACCCACGGGTGCCACTGGGATGGGACATACTGGTTCTGGCAGCTCAGATTGTTGACCTGGGAAGGGCTTGAAGGGGAGCGAGACATTCGTGTCAAGAGATTTTTGTCAAGTTGCAGATCTGCTTGCGTTCCGTGGGAGAGCAAAACACAGAGCTAAAAAAGGGAAATGACAGAGTTGAGGAGCAAAACAAAGGCCTCCATGACCTTCTGCAGGCAAATGATGTTTCACAGAGGCACTGCCACCCCCCGGCCTCTTCAAAACAAACGGAGATGCAATTAGGAGACCGAAGAGCCGTAAATGTAGCACAGCCCTGCAGCCTGCCTTACCAGCTGCCTCCTTCCTTTTGCTCAGGCTTACCTCCACAGTTTTGGCTGGATGTCACCTTTCTGTCCTGCACCTCCACAGCTCCTGTGACTTAGCCAGAAATGGAAAGGCAAAGACAGGGTAACAGTGAGTGTAGATCCCACATGGGCTGTGGCTGGGCTGTCGCTGCAACATGCCAGACTTCAACTCTCCCACCCCAGTGCTCCCGGCCCCCTTTGAGGCGAAGGGGCGGCGATGTCTGGGTCACTGCCTTCTCTTCAGGGGTGCCTCCCCCCCCCCCCCCC